TATTTCTATTGCATGAATGTATACATTTTTAAGGTTGCAAATGATTATAATTAAGTATGATCAGAATCGTGTAGGTATATAGGGTCAATGATAAAGACTTATTTCAAAACTTAACACATTTTAAATAAATATTAATTTTAATAATAACTTTCTTGAGATATCTTTTTAATGGGACCCCCAAAACTGCTGCTGCTCCGATAAGTCACTATCTATAGTAGATACAACCACGAAAACATCAGAACACTGAAGTCCGGCGCATCCCAGGGATATGAATAACTGTCTTGGTTTTTGCAACAAAGTGAATCAGAAGATGTTATAAGAGGAAAAGAAACGATCGTTTCCACTTTCCTCGGTGATTTACTAAAATAGACAGAATGAATTAAACCAAGGGCACAAAATAGAGACTGTACAACTGGGTGAAGACCAGTCGTCAAGCACCATGGAAACTTGACTAAAAACTAAGTGGGCCCTGTGTCGTGGGTAGGTACTACCGTGAGACGTACTGCTATGCAAAAGCTAAGATATAGTTGACAGACGTTTGCGCGACATCGCCGCGACTTCGCACGCTACTCACGAGGAAGAGTCCCTCTATGACTCGAAACAAGTAGAGGTTTTCTCAGTATATTCACGGAAGTAATGTAAACCATAAATATTAGTTAGAAATCTCAGGTCAAGTTTATAGTAATAGTGACTATGACTATTACATGAAGCCGAAGACATTATCAGATAAAAATAAAAACTGCGTTTAAAAAACCGACTTTTAAAAAAACCAAATACTAAAAGTCAAAGCTAAAAAGAAAAAAATAACTACCATTAGTACTGATAGGTTACTCACCTACTGATAGGTTGGAAGTCGGCGCCATAGTACCTCCTCCTTTTTTGAAGTCGGTAAAAATACCCTTCATCTAGGTACCTTTGGATAGTAACTAACGATACTATATCACACGAAGATTTTGAATAGAAAATGTATTTGTATAACATGTTCACAACGAATAAATGCTAAGAACTGTTCTCATATTACGAGTACGACGCATTGAAAAGTACTTCCATTTATATTAATTCACAATACACGACTGAAAGTGGTACACCCGTTTACATAATTGCCACATGGATAGCTATGTATGGACTCTATTATTATTGGCATACGGGCTATCATAAATCGATCAACAATACCTGTGCTGCCTATTGTGATGCCATTCAACAGGGTACGGCATAATATGAATAAGTACAAAATATTTAACGTACTCGTGGTAAAATTTTCGTCATAAATCTTTTAGGTAAAACTTTACCTACTTATATTTATGTACAAGTGCGACTGCCGGGCAATGGGTCTCGGGTTCGATTCCCGGGTTGTGCAAAGTACTACTGGGTTTTAAAAAAATCTCAGCAGTAGCACGGAGTCTGGAATTGTACCCGGTATATGGCAATAGGCTCACCCCCTATTACATGGGATAATCATAACACAAATAGTGAAAAGTGGGTGTTAGGTACATTATATAGTAACATAATGTACACCTCTGCCTACCCCTTCGAGGATGAAAGGCGTGATGTTATGTTATTATGTTGTGTTAATAGGTAATTGGTTACCCTAATAGGCGTCGTAGTGTTAACATACATATATAAAAAGAGTACTAAAGAGTATCATGGCATCCCCAAGTTTTTCTAAGTAGGTATATAAAGCATACTCAAGTACCTTTACACTGCCATGCCTACCAGGTATCTATAAAAAAATATGCAAAAAAAATATAGAAAATCCCAGAAACTGAAGCGGCTGCATAGTTACACTTAGAAAACCAGTAATATCGTATTTGAAAAAGCTCTACCTAACCGTAGCTGTCTATACGTAGGTATGCCTAACAACTGAAGGTGACCTTTGTCGAACTATGTAGAAACAATTAATATAAATTAATATTCATACTATGTTTACTAAAGCTAAATAGAAAACAAACTTATGTTATCAATTCACTTTAATATATAATATTGAAATATTTATAGTTGGGAAGCTCCTGATAGGATTTCGGTAGTTACTCGAGTGCGTCAAATTAACGTATGGGGAATATCGAACATCCTGTTGGATATACCCACCATTAACCCAATCGGATTAGATGGGAGGATAAAAAAATTAAAAAAAAACAAACTTAATACAGCCAGTTTCGCCAGATTAAGGGATGAGAGATCCACCGCATACTTAATGAAATGCATTTAAAAAATCTACTCTACTATCATATAATTTTACACGCTCAAATGAGCGTGATTTGTAAAAGTGGAAGGGTTTTAAAGGATTCTCGTTTGTACCTGACCTTAAACTTCCCAAACATTCAATTTATTGGTGGGGACCAAAAAATTGGCAGATTTAGGTTTTTTCAATATCAGGGATACTAAACCAAAAATAGTACTAGTGACAATATTAAATATCTGTGGATTCACCCTTCCTCCACTAGTGGAGGAAAAGTCAATGAACCCTTTGTTCTTTCTATCACCTTATCTTCAAAATTTAGTAGGTCCCTGCGATGCTCAAATAAAATCAAATTCAGCTGTGGGCAAAGCATCATCCTCTACTATTACTAAGAACTCTGCTAACAAACAAACAGTAATAACAATTGTTAATAGTTTAGCCTCAAGTGAAACCAAAATTATTCGCTAGTTTCGTAGGATTATTATGTTTCCAGAAGTCGCCATCATGGCGTAAGGTTCAGTTATTGAAATTCTGGGCTCACTAACTGAGATCAGGCTTGCACGAAGACTGTGAAATTAAGTAGTCCTTCAGACTTGTTTGTTGGAGACGCTAATTTATTTTAATTGCTTCCCAGACTAATTTGTTCGGCCACCATTTCTTTTCATTGGTGCCCTTAATTGTGATCTCCCGTCCAAAAATTTCAAGGCGAAATTTCTTTCAAAATGCCCAGAGCTATAAATATTTAATGCGGAATTTATTTACGGCCAACATGTCCCCACTTGGCGTTTGTTTTTTAATATAATGAAATTCCCATTAAAAGGAAATTATGAGGGAGGCAGGGATGAAGCTGGGCAACATTAATTGGGAGTCGTTCTTCGTAGATATTGTTTTGAGTATCAAGTTGCTATCGTTATAAAAGTTGCTTAATTGATACAGTATAAATTGAAATAATTAGCTCTTCGGTCAACCACAGAGGCCATATATTTCAATGGTTTGTTTTGGATTGTACGTAGGTATAATGAACTTCAGCACGTTGTTACAAGCATCAAAATTATGAATAAAAATAGATTCTAAAAATCGTTTACATTTTTATCTATTTTTATATTTTTATACAGATTGATGTGACTGAGTCTAAAGCATCTAATTAACATAGATACCAAATTATTATGTTAATCAAGAAATCCCGGACTACTAATCACATCCCTTTTTACATTCTCGCCCCAGTAATTAAGTTGAGACCACATACATATATTATGCACACCAAACTAACATTTTAAAAGCAAAATGTTACATGCTAAAAGGATAGGGTATATTCCTGCCAAAGGTTTAGAAACCCTACTTAAATTCACAGCTAAATATGTATAAGAAATTAAGTATAAAACATGTTTGCTCAGTTCTGGGTTGACTATTTAATTCCAAAAGGTTGAACCCACAATTAGGTAAATTAACAAAAGTCTCCGATTTCATGTTTTCGTCTTCCTCTTTTGTATATTTTATGTGAACTCTTACTCAGCCATGTAATGTGGGAGTAGACTAATTTAACAAAAACACACTGATGTAATTTATTTACATTTTCCACAAATTTTCGCTTAAACAGCCTTTCGTGGAATACGACTAAACTAAACATCGTTCGCATTCCCTCTCGTCCACACGTGAAGTTATTTGAGACTCAAAATTTCAAAAGAGATGTACTATATATAAGTATAGACCCACGTTTTTCTCCTGTTAAAGTGTGAATTTTCGAATTCTGTGAATTTTTTCATCCATTTTAAGCCGCTGGACGTAATACCGTTAAAACAGAATATCTCCGTAAAAGTTTGGTGACAAAAAGTCTATCTAAAAAAGTAATAGCCTAGGAACACATTTAACGACTTTTAGGTCCCGATTATGTAGTACGCACGTTCACTTTACTCGTCCCACGTACGAACGTGAGTAGAATGAAGATCATAAAAGAATAGGCAAGTAAAGCTAAATTGATTTCACAGTTTTAGAACGTAGTGAAAAAGTTGTTTTGGCTTTTTTGGATTCAACGATTTGCTTCCTCAAAATCATGCAAGTGCCATTCAAAATAATTACGCCGTTTTGACTTTGGAATGAGACATAGATTAAGTATCATGTCTCAGAACTCAGATATTTTATGTTATTTTAATTCATAAACGTCTTGGTTATTTATAATTATAACTGTGTTGTGTATCCGAATTAATTAATTTCAGTAGACATTCAGCCTGAAACCAGATTCAATGTTTTGAAACAATCGCTGCAACAAAACGTTCTGGAAATTTCTTGCGTTCAAAACTGTACAACCCAGGGTTTGTATCGATATTGCTACTGAAAGCAATAAATCTCCGGTTGCCGATGTTAATAGTGGCGTATTTGATAGGGAACTGCTATGGATAAATACAAAGTTACAATCGAACTGATTGTATCTACTAGAAATTGGCTATAAAATGATATAGTTTGTTTATTTGTTGAGTATTATTTAATGAGTCATGTGACTGAATTCAAATTAAGATGGTTAAAAAATGAAGGGACAACCGTGTTTGTGGAAAGGTAACGTTTGATAGGGGAAAATAAAAAATATACATAGGCTTAAATTACACAGTATGCGTAACAAATGTAGGGTGCCTAAAAAAATCATTGACATTACTTTTGAAGAAATATTGAACAAACGTTACTATTGTTAAGCTATTTAGACGCATGTACCTAATACCCCAAGTGTTGCAAGCGTAGGTACATAGGCCACGATAACCGCTTACCATCCGGTGGACCGTGTGCTTTTTTGCCACCGTCGTGGTATAAAAGAACTGTTTGATGTAGTACTGACCTTTCTCTTAGCTCTAACGACTTGCATCTGATGATGAGTACACTCGCCGATTGCTCGGCCTCTCAAAGCGGCACTCATTCGAGCGTACGCCCAAACCATCACTGACATAGGCACCACGTACGTCACAGCCAGAAATAATAGGTTATACCTGCAAAAAGGACTCCTATTGATTACACAAGTCATAAAATGTAATGTAATGGGGACTAAATGCACAAAAAGTGATAAATTGATATCAATCCAATACCGCACACGCAAATTATCAATCAACCTAAGTCCAGAGATTTATACATGAAAGCTACTATACAAATAAAAAAAAAACATTAGTTTTTTATCTGTGCGAAATACCATGGTTAGAATCACGTTATGTGACTTATAACTGCTGTATTAAACATTTTCATTATGATTATCCCGATTGAATTCTCGTCAGACAAAATTGCTAACAAAAATGCATCGACAAGAAAATAAAAACAGTAAAACAATATTTCTACCGAACCGAACAACGTAATAGTCGGTAAAACCAATTTTACCGCGTAATAGAAGCAACGTGGGAGGATTAATCTTTTTTAAAACAATAACAAGACTGGCAGGAACCACAGAGTTTCATGAAATGCTATTTATGAACAAAATCGATTAAAACTTTGTTGATGCGCCCCTGAATTGTTAGACTTGCTAATCAAATATCAAGCACATTTCATAATAGGACGCAAACCAGTTTGCTATGAGTAAATTTAAAAGTTCTGTAGATTAATTTTATCGGTTTATTAGTTTTAATATTAACACATTCGAAACTAAGGTTTTAAGGATAAACCTTATTGTCTTTTAGGTACTTGAATAAGTACCTAATTCTTTCATTAAATAATGAATAAGAATCCCAGAATCAGCTTCTAATAATTTCTTCAAAAATATTCTTAAAATCTGAACTAGAGAATGAGTAATTGAATACTTTCATTTATTATTAAACTGCATGCTATTAAAGTCTATTTTACTGGTCGAGTGTAGTTGAATAGTTTAATAATTCAATTTAGAAAACCTCATTAGTAATATAATCTGTGTTAGTTTTCAGTTTATAGCAGTATGTGTAGGTTTGCCCAATTAATTTCATAATTGGTGAATATTAAGTTAGGTACTGTTTGTGTATTTACATTGTAACTAACTAGCCTTAAAATTTTATAAATTCTAAGATAATGATAAATCCTTATATGTACTTATCATAACTTCAGTGTCAACAATACATATTTCACTTTAATTCAAAATCATTTTCTTTTAACCTTCTCTTGTCTTGAACACACATTCTCAGACCAGATTCAATTTACGGAGACTAGAAAAAGGCTATTTTCTTACTAGATAAAAGTCCTTGAAAAGAGGTCCGAGTCTCAAAATCAATATACAGTTCGATTCTGTCAACATTTTTTCGATAAAAGAGAATCGTGTGCTTAGAATCAAAAATCCCAGCGCCATTTTGGATTCGACTGTGGCTAGGTTATAAGGCACGATTCTTTAATTCACTGAATATCTTTCCTTGCGTATCTGCCCTGGGTTTATAAAAGGTCTTTTTATTTACGACAAAAAGATTCAATGTACTGACGCAGGTACTTTTTCTACTGTTAAAGGGATATTATCGCGGCCTCTGAACCCTAATAAAATGTTTATTTATTGTTAGTACGTAACCAATTTAAATTGGATACAGTGGGCAACGAAACTTAGTTATAATGGTCTGAAAATTGGCTAGCTGATATCCACAATGTTCCTAACTTTACATCTAGTACACAAAACTTTGTTTGTTTTCAATAGGAAAATTGAACAGCTAAAACAAATGATGGTCTCTTGATTTTTCCTTATTAATATAAAGATCAGGAACTTTTTCCCTCAGTATGTAAATTACTTCATTAATGTAACAAACTTTCCTTCTTCCTACATTAATGTCTTCAACGAGAATGGAAAAACAATGATAACGATCTTGTGACCCACTTAAAAAGTTACATAATATTATGACATAGATTTCTACTCACACATAATCAGTTCTCGATGATGGATAACTGCCGTCGGGCCATTTAATAAAACATATTTCTCTGTCACCGTTCACATATCTGTAACAAAAAGATAATATTATTGCAATGACTTCAAATTCCCATTAATTTCTCTTAACTAGTTGGTAGTAAACTCAATCATTCTCATCTCCTCTACATCGAGGTATATTCAAGCGTTGAGTTTCTAGCTAAAATTTTATACCTGGCCATACTATTTCAACCGCATACTTCAGTCTGAACAGAAAGACCATTAAATTCAAAACTAGTGATCCAAGAATCAAACAAGTACTGAACAAAGTAAATAAAATGGCAGACTTGATTTATATCGAGGAAAACAGAACAAAAATAACAAACTTCAAAATCAATTTGAATTCTGTGGTCAGCACATCAAACATCTATGGAAAAGCTATAAAGCTGTAATAGCTAGTAAAATGTTAAATGTCACGAGCAACGACCTCAGCAAATCCCCAGGTTTGTTTACAATCAAAACTTTTAAACGCATCGGTACGCCCTGCGGCGCACAAATGTACCATTTACCCTGCTTTACGGTACAACTTCAACTATTTTACTTTATTTTATATCCTTTACTGACAGGTGTTCAACTAAAGGGAAAATTATGGGGTTGCTGGTTCCCAAATAAAATTAGAATTATTTTATGCTTTGTCCTGGCCTTTTACAAATGTTTTCGGGTTATGTATGTGTAGCTGTCTACTTATTCGGGTTTCACTTGATTGTCAGTAGTTTGCGTAGATTTATTTATCCTCTGACCTCTAGAAAACTAGACCTCAATTTCGAAAATACGTAGCTCTCTATATACTCTTCGTTAGATCCAATTTAGTCTGCGTACCATTTTTGTTAGTTCAGATTCAGATATAATAAAATCGTCTGTGTTGTTTTCATAAGACCGACTTTTTTATGACATATCAGATTCGGTTTATGGATTATTGGTTTTCGAATAAAATATATACTCGTATGTACTAGTTTAGTTATCTGTAATTTCATCAATGTATTGATAAATGCATCTGCAACACTACAACAAATAATCAGGTCATTACTTTATGTCGAGAGTAAAAGCGTAGACATAAAAAATAAATTCTATGTTAACGACAATAGAAGCTATTATAGTTTTATTCTTCGGATAACGAGTTTGCTGACTTTGGGAGATACGAGTGACGGTGTTTATTTACAAAGAAAACTTTTTCCAAAGTCCCATACCTACGTTTTCATTCACTTTCTTTGAAACAAGAAACTTTCAAAGAATCGAAAGAAACATTCACTGGTTTTTGATGTATTAAATTGAAAATTACTCACAATTTCAACTAGTGTTTGTTGCTTAAACAGCAATTAAAACTTTTAACAAGGTATTTGAACATCGTTAAAACTGAATTCTAATATTTTACAATTTTGAACCAAGTGTAATATGAACCTATTAAATTCTTTTGAGTGGCAGTAGGGGTAATAATATAAACTGATATTTTTTACTGCTTGAATTTTTGTATAGATATTGATTTATAACAAGAATAAATTGAATAAGCACAATAATCATTATCATCAATAGCCTATAAGACCTAACATCGCACCAAGCACGGTAACTAGCTGGGCTGGGTAACCGGCTGCCGCGCAACGTGTAGCGGGTTCTATTCCCGTACGGAACAACTCTCTGTGTGATCCACAAATTTTAGTTTCTAGTCTGGGTGTCATGTGTACGTGAACTTTTGAAAACGCAGTCACGACACTCGAGAAAACCCTAATGTAGGGCAACATTTTATAAAAACAGAAATAAGGTATCTTCTTACACGGAGAAGGTATGACCAGTAATCACCACGCTTGATCAATGCAGGTAGTCAATTTCAAACTGATAATTATGATAAGCCCAGTTTCTTCACGATGTTTTCCTTCGCCGAAATTATAAGTACAATAAGGTTTAATAATAATATTTAAGACTACTTTATTCACTAAAATTGTTACCTATGAGACACATTAGCTTATAAATAAAGCACAACTGCTGAGCGAGGGATGGTCCCCTGTCACTAACTACTAATCCTGACGCAAAGCGTTATCGAGACCCTATTTCATAACTCTCAATAGGGTCTCAGATCAATATTCAAAGTCTGATTAATGACTAGAGCTTTGCGTATAAGAAACTACACTTATTCAGCAAAATACATAATGTACCTAATGTAAAATTTAATTGATATCAACGCCCGTTAGTGTTGTTTTTTCTAAGGGGTAAAATTATTCAATGACTTCTCCGGCCTTGCATGACGCAAGAAGGAGTGTCAGACTCTTATTGACTAAAAATTGCTCCGTCCTTACTTCTGCTTCGAGTCAAGCTGGTGACCTTATAACCCACTAGATCGTTCGCTTCGCAGCTCCGAAGAGCTTACTGCTGGATTTTGGAACTACCTTATATGAGAGGGGTTTGCCTATGTCCACACTTGGCGATATGAAAGGGGTTTGCTCTTTAGGTTTGCTTATCTCCACATTTGGCGAGTTGAAGACCGTAGTTTCAAAAGATCAGGTTTACATATGTAGCCCTCAGTCGCTTCTGACTGCACACAAACGAAGAGAAGTGGTATATACTACTCTGTCGTCACATGACAAAGTTTAAATAATAATTGTATTAAAGTCTCAACTGAAAAACTTTTCTGTGTAAATAGTTCGTCTGCAAGTAATTTTCTTATGTAAAGTAACCTGAAACTTTACAGTTTTAACTTTTGCGCTTTAGCTTCTACACTTTAGGTTTAAAACATGAACATTAAGGAATAACAATTTTGATTACAAGGAGTACTTGTGACCACAACGAGTTTAAACTGGTCGATATACCAAATAAACTATATAATTTATGATTTTCACATTGTTAGCCGGCGTGAAAGAGCCGAAAAAATATAATTAAGCACTTTCGCTAGAAGTAGGTATTTGCTTGTTGGTATTTGGTGTGTGTAAGTGCCCTATACCTTTTTGTGCATATGCGCAGTCATATAGTATACAACCTATAGAATAGGTGCAATGTAACACTCACTTTCAATCAATTATGGTAAGAGTTCCATAAAATATTTTTACAGATGGTTGATTGGGCTATAAGCCTATTGACAACAGGCACCGATTTGTTGAATCAATCAAAATTGCTAAATTAAATACACCAGTATGAATTTGAAACAATTCAGGAAAACCCACAAAAACCAAAGCGATAAAATAAATATATCTTTCATTTGGAATCTGTACGTGATGTTGACTTCACTTTCGTGGTAGAGGCAATTAGCTAAACAGTATCAATTCCTCTAGAAAGATAATAAATACAAAGTCAAAAATAGACGGCAGTAGAAGAAAATAGACTTTACCAGTTCATTGTACTTCTAGAAAACAATATTAAGAATGAACCTTTAATTTTAATCAAAGGCTTTGAATTTTTTAAGTGCACCATTTATCATTAGAAGTACAACATACATTAGAAGTACAGTAAGAACAAAGAGATACCAGAAAAAAATACGAAGGATTGACGCTGATAATAAAGTTCTTTGTGCAACCATGTTTACATCAGGGGAAATAGGGTTGCGATCCCTATCATATGACTATGATGCACAATAGAAAATGACTAAAATTATAGGTATCTGTTATGATTTTTTTTTTATGGGATAAACCGGTAAACGAGCTGACGGATCACCTGATGGTAAATAATCGGTGCCGCTGAACACCCAAAACACCAAAGGCGTTACATGGGCGCTACCGGCATTTTAACGGTTAGGAATTTGAGGATTGTTAGGGATTCAGGGATTGGAGAGATTAGGGAGGGGGGTAAATAGGCCTTCGGCAACCTCACTGACACTACGAAACACAACGTAAGCGTTGCTTCACGTCGATTTTCTGTCGTGACGTGTCGGCCGTGGTGTCGTCCCAGTCGAGCCGGCCCATTCGTACCGGAGCATTGGCTTGCCCACACATTTAAGCATTTAACATAATTATTATGGGGCGAAAAGCAAATGAGGTATGTAAGTACCAATTACACCGTTGTTAGTTGAAAGAAGTGTGTATAATTGTTGGAGAGACATGCTTCGGCACGATTGGGCCGGCTCGACCGGAGTGATACCACGGCTTCATAGAAAACCGACGTAAAGCAACGCTTGCGTTGTGTTTCGTCGTGTGATTGAGGTAACCGGAGGCCCAATTACCCTCCCTTTCCCAAATCTCCCCAATCCCTGAATCCCCAACGACCCTCAAACTCCTAATCCCCAAAAGGTCGGTAACGCACTTGTAACACCTCTGGTGGTCCAGGTGTCCATGGGCGACGCCGATTGCTTACCATCAGATGGTCTGTCTGCTCGTTTACCGGCTTATGCCATAAAAAAATAAAGAAAGAAAGAGTACCCACTTCGTAAATATAATAGCACAGTATATAAAATACACACAGTAGATCAACGCCACAGCATCATCACACTGTTGCCTGGCGACAGTAAATGAAAGATATAATTATATTTAATTATAAATCTCTAATTTTGTACCAAGTCTCCAAGGGTTGACACGCCAGTTTTTCGTGAGCTATAATTAGCTGTTTTGTATGTGTACGTGATAATTTTGCTGTGGGTATTAACTGGCTTATAAATCTGTCACATATGTTATTCTAATTATACTCTCTAAGTAAATGTTAAAGACTTTTTTTTATTGTTATAATCAAATCTATTTTTAAACATTAATCAAAAAGGAAGTTTAAAGCTACGAAAAGTCACAATAATTGTATAGGGACAGACTGTGCGAGTACCTAATACGGAAATATTATTATTCGTTTAAGTAGAAACATAATCGTTCCGAACGATTAATATCTTTCGAATCAACTTTGTTATTACGTGATACAGAATATTATTTTCATAATAACTATCGTGACCTAAAGATGTACTAATAGGGCTGATGCCGATACGAAGCCGCGGGTAACTTAACGGGTTGCCGGGGCTCCGGCTTGAAGTGCAGGAGTAGGAAAGGGGTGGTTTTAAGTCAGTAAGAGTCTGACACTGCCTATCGCCTCACCCAGGCGGGTCATTCGATGAGTTTTCCCCCCTTAAAAAAAGGTCTACTGTGGCGACACATGCCACATGTAAACCGATGACGTCACAAGAATCCTACATCGCACATGCAAAGTTTACAAGCAAATAAACACGGATAGAAAATCCCAACGAACAACTGTTGGGCAGAAAGCCCGCCAGGCACGATCACCTCGCCTGGTCGGAGGATCCTCCTTTTCCGATCTTAGGGAACTATACTCTCTGTTCCCTAAACTACCAGTTTCGAGTCACAGAGGAACTCTTCGTTATTGACTCCAAACTAGTAGAGTTTTCTCAGTATATTTACTTGAATAAACCTATTACAGACTTTTACAGTTGATGAAGTTGATCATCATTCTTCTATATAACGTCATCATTAATAAGCAAGTTGAGAAATTTGAAACCAGTTTTATTGAATTCACTATTTATTTTAAAGGCCTTCATTCTTGTACGGCTTTTACTAAGACACGTATTTACTTTTGATGCCGCTGGCGAGTGGTGCAATGAAATAAAATGTTGTTCGCATTTAGAGAGCAATTTCGCTGTTACTTCAAACAACTCAACGATCTTTTGATCGGTTCTTAAATGCTTTAAAACATTTCACTTGTAGTAAAATATGTTTAAGATTTAACAAAGTTACATTTTTCTCTCACTCACACTATTTCTTTGTTTCTTGTCACAGGTTAATTCAATTAAGACAGAATTGACGTCATCATTTTAATGAAGGATAGAAAATAAGGGTGTGTTTACAGAAAAACTTTTACACAGCAGTAAAAAACAATTTAAACTACCCAAATCAATGAATCCGATACTTAAAACTTCATACAGATAAAAACCATTATGAAACCTTATCATAATATTAAATCTCATGAAGATGAAGTTTAATCCTACCTACATTACACGGACTATATTTTAAACCTTCAGGTTAGGATAATAAACCATAACTGTGATGAATATAGTGGCAGTTAGCCGGCCCTCGAGAAAATAGACCGCTAGATAAAATAAAATTATATTTAAGGCTCCTAGACTACACGCAGCTTTTGTAGGCCAGGAGTTTCTTAAATATTCAGTACACTCTGTATAATATAGGTAATATAGCGACATAAATATAAGATTATATCTACAAAATTAACTTAGCACGTTTCTAGGACAGTAAAGTTAGAGTTTGCTGGGATAATGCGGTAATATTGTGTCCACAGTTGATGCATAAAAAATGTTTGAAATAATAAATGAACTATAAATAAGCCTTCTTTGCACTGTACTGAATAGTTCACCAATAAATTATTGGTTTCGAGTTCTTAATCATCCTAAGTCGTCTTATTCGTTCACACTTCTTACGTAATTGTACATATGTTTACTAGCTTTTTCCCGCGACTTCGTACGCGCAATCCCATTTTCTCCCGTTCTGATTTCTGTCGTAAGAACATTCTCCTGACGATAACAAACACAACAAAAAAAATCAGCCAAATCGGTTTAGCCGTTTTCAAGTTATGGCGTGACCTATGACATGTATATATATATACAGATTATTATTAAAAATGTCAAGAAGACTACTATAGATATTGTATAAAGGAACAAAATTCATAAAAAAAACTGTATTATTACTGTAAGTTGCTAACCTGATCAGATTAGTATATGCGTAATTTATTTCACAAAAGAGGCAAAGGAAAGTTAATAGCGATCATCAGTTCCCAGCTCCGAAAACCTGAGTTAATGTAACTGTAGTTTAATAATTAAGAAGGGTAAAGTTAGTTTATTATGTCCCACTACGAAAGATTATTCCCCGGTGTGCTAATTTTAATGGACGCCATCCTCGCTTTAACTTTTATAAAGTATAAGTTTATAGTATATTCTAAAAACTCGTTAGATAAGTATATTATTACCTAATGGGGCCTACCGTATTTTTGCTTAACATGTGGTGCTAGTGTAAAACTTTCCTTCGATCAATAGGAAATTAGCTAGTATCACACCATTTGACGTTCAATATTTGACAGCTGCTGTGACTTGGACAATCTTTTTTGCGAGTTATATGTACTTTCTAAGATTATTCAGACACCACTGACAAGCGGTCAAGAAAAACATCGTGAGGAAACCTGGACTTATAATTTCTAAGTATAAGTTTGAAATCGCCAAGTGAGTCAGCGTGGTGATTAATGCTCAAACCTTTTCCTTGTGAGAAGAGGATTTGCTCAGCAGTGGGCACTTATAGGCTGTTAATTGGGCTCGCTGCCATCGCAGCGGTAAGTCCCCTCTTTGAGGAGTGGCTTGAGAGACGCTACGGCGTCCTCACCTACCGCCTGACGCAGGTCCTCACCGGACATGGCAGTTTCGGGAGGTACCTGTGTCTGATGGGGCGGGAGGAAACGCCCGAGTGTCATCACTGCGAGGACCGCCCTGAGGACACGGTGGAACACACGGTGGGAGAATGCCCTTCGTGGGCTGAGCACCGCCGTGTCCTCAGGGAAGTGATCGGCGATGGCGACCTCTCGCGTCCGGGCCTAGTGCAGGCCATGATGCGGAGCGAGGGGGATTGGGATGCCGTCTCCTCCTTTTGCGAAGCAGTCATGCTAGCTAAGGAGGAGGCGGGACGCGTGAGGCAGCGAAGCGCTGCCTCCTCGCAACCCAGCCATCGCGAAGGACACACCGGGCGTCGGGGATCGCGGGACGATCTCCGGCCACCGTAAGCGCGGGCCTGCGGACGGCGAGCATGGGTGGCTCCCCGTCCGACCAGAAACAGACCCGAGCGTACGGCGCGTCGCGTTCCGCGCGCGCCTCAAAGAGCCATCAGACCACCACAGATGGGGCCCAATAGGGCCGATGCCGATTCGGAGTCGCGGAGAACCTAACGGGTAACCAGGGCTCCGGCTCGACGTGCAGGAGAAGGAACGGGGTGGTTTTTAGTCAGTAAGAGTCTGACACTCCCTCCCGCCTCACCCAGGCGGGGGCAGTCATTCGATGATTTTCCCCCCTTAAAAAAAAAAAAAAAAAAAAATAGGCTGTTAATGTGTGTGTTTTGTTTTTTGCTTTGTGTTATTGTAATTCCTACTAGGAAATGGGGTGTTTTGTCCAATCAGCGAGATAGCGCAATTGTAGGAAATTCTTACATTTGTGCTATCTTTTATTTCGTAAACAAACCATTTAGGGAAACTCTATTATACCTATAAATGAGTTGTTATTTGTTAAACGATCCATTAATCTAAGAATGTTTTAAGTATTAAACAAAAAGGCAAGAATTATATAAATCCGTTTAAAGAGTTTCACAGTTTTAGACGTTTATTTTGAAATTCTGCTTTGAAGTTAGCGTTTGAACTTTTGCCTAAATTTTAGACTTTAAAATCTTTACACTTTTAGACTGACTGTGGCAGATAAACTTTTATATTAGCTGTTTAACAATAGCCACGAAAATTGTATAATGTAATAAAGTCTACCTGTTATTTCAGTTTTCAAAGGTTGTCTACAAATAAAGTTTTAGTTATTTGAACATCCAGTGACCTTTCCTATTTATACTTTGTGCTAGTTGGTAATATCGTGTAGCCTAAGAATATAGGTACGGACTACAAAGAGCGTCTATCTTTAGTTCCACAGAAAATCCTCTTCTGATCTGAATTTAATATTGAGGACTTCGAGAGAATTTCGACTTTGACGTTTAATGTTATTATATTTATTATTTTTATTTATTTTCAGCCATAATCGTTCCACTGTGGGGCAAAGGCCTACTGTTTAATGTTACGTATTATTTTTTTATTTACCTACATTATTTTTGAGCATTACTACTTTACCATATTAAGATAAAAGCTACAATAATAATACAAAATTATTTGACGACGAAATGAAATGATATTAGTTACTCTAAAATAAAACTAAATTTTTAAATAATTTCGTTCTGAAATTGTACGAAAATGTACGCATGGTTTCATGCACACATTTCACACTATAGTCGCACAAAGACTATAAAGTGAAGTATTATATTATTACTGGGTAAAGATGTATAAAATTAACAAACTTACTGTTTCTTATAAGTATCAGAGTAGAGTAGACTGGGCAGTGCAAGCAGAGCGCTGGCGCACCAGACGGTGAAGAGCGCCGCGCGCGCTACACGACGACTCAGTCTGTGTTGCAGAGGTTTCACTATCGCCACGTATCTGTATAAACAATAAAAATATTTAATTAGATAAAATCATAAGTAATAGTAATTAAATACCCGCAATGCACTGAATATAATTATAAATCCTATAGTGTTATGGATGTTCAATTGTCCATGGACGGCGCTGCATCAGTTACCATGAGGTGATCAGTCTTATTCCCAAAAATAAGCTCGACTTGATTAATAGTATACTTTTATTTATACATATATAGATTTTAGGACATCCAGGTCTAATACTTCAAAATAATGTGCGGATGACTTTGACCTAATTTAACTTTTTATGATAGAGGAAAGGAAATAAGAAAAATAACGTAAGAAAAAAACATAGGTTATCACTAGTTTCATCGAAATGCCCTAGAAATAAAATAAAAGAAAGCAGTACCTTTGATATTATTTTGCAGAATAAAAATATTAGGTACCTACTTTTAAAATTAGAATAAACTAAGCTCCCTATGGAAGCAGACGTCACGTGGCAGTATATCGCAAGTAATCTACTTATTTGAACTTCTTTAATATATTTATATGCCCCCGTTATTTCCCGGCAAACCAAATAATCTTCTAGGTCAATAGAACTGGCTAGGGTCCAAAAAACTTAGATTTCAAAACATATTCAGCAATAGTGTTAATGCTTTTATTCTTAGTTTTAATTAATCTCTGTCAGCGAACCACTAGAAGAAAGTGCTAATTGTGACTTGCAAAAACTAAGCTCACAGAAAAACACACACATTATATTATTTTAAGTCTGGTCTAGAAATGGGCATAGACTGGTCGAGAAAGTTTTATCTAGGTTTAATAAATCGATATTGGATCGTTTCAGTAAACCTTTGTTTGTTACAATAATCGATGTTGAAGTATTTTGGTTTGGCGCTTAGTAATGTATTAAAAAGTCAAAAGTCAAAATCATTTATTTCAATTAGACCAGGAAGACAGTTTTGAACGAACGAACGTGAAATAAAATATTTAAATATTAAATAATAAGAAAAAATGACAGTCTGTAGGTCAGTCCTCTAGTGAAGCTATTTGCTCGTTCCAAAGTGTAGATTCCTATGGAGAAGAACGAGCAAGAAACTCCATAGTCAAGAAAGTCCATACTCTTTTTCAATCATGTTCACAATACAATTTTTGGTTACATTCTTTCGTTAAGTTCAATAATGTGAGGACAATGTAATACCAATATTTGGTTAAGGAGATGGAAGAAAAAAGAAATTATTATTATACTGAAAGTTACGACTACGACCACGACTACGACTAGCTACTGAAAGACGGGTTTTCTTTAATTAACCTAGCTACGAGCTTGTCAAGCGTGACGACTGTGGCAAAATCCGTTTAAAACCGAGCTAATGGCCAAACAGCAACAAGTATAATAGCTACAAAACAACACGAAGAAACAAAAAAACAACTCAATACAAATAGCTACAAGACACAAAATGCTCTTCTCTCTTAACTAAAGCGATGGGTCACTCGGGACCGTAATAGTGGGCCATATTTTACCCCATAGAGTCCACAAAGAAGCGAGATTAGTGTGTCAAAAGAAGGATGACATCGATTATATCGGCTCACCCTGATAGATGGTTATATTGTCAATGACAGATATAGACGGTTAAGGAACTAAGACGAAGTGAGCATAGATAAGCAGGAAGTCATGAGGAATGACGTCACTATACTGTATTAAGCTTTATAGCAGTAGTATATCTTGGATTATCATTATGTACCATATATCGCAGAAGTAATTTTGTCGACTGGTATGCTGATGTTGATGACTTGAAGAACTTGCCTAGAATGTGACAGTGGTATTGTTTTACTAGTCAAAAAACTACGATGTATAACATAATGATTCTTATTCTGTGTTGTCTTATTCCTGTATATTCGCAGGCGTTTCGTTCGAACAAACTTTATCCTAATAAAACGCAGACATTATCCATTCCAGTGAATGGCATATTCTTTTATAAGTTCGGCGAACGTTGTATACCTAATTCATTTTAATTTATAGTTAACGTCAACCTATCAAGTATACAAAAAATGGAAATACCCACCTATATGCGAATCAATGTAACGAATGGGTCAAAAGTAAACAATAATTACGTCACTAATTTCCAATGAGCAAACAATGTAACATAACATCACGCCTTTTATCCCCGGAGGGGTAGGCAGAGGTGCACATTATGGATCTTAATGCCACTGTACAATGTAACATCCACTTTTCACTATTTATGTTATTAGTCCGATGTAATAGGGGGTGAGCCTATTGATATACCGGGCACTTTTCCAGACTCCGTGCTACTACTGAGATTTTTAAAAACCCAGTAATACTGTGCCCGATCCGGGACTCGAACCCGAGACCCCTTCCCCGGCAGTCGCACTCGTCACAAATGTCCAATGGGCAAACAATGTGTGTGAACAATTAATAACATAGTCATTTTGTATAAAGGGACAAACCTACTAGACCTAAATACTACTAATGTTTACTGCTAAGTTCCTTTGTTACGTATGTTTCTAGGGTTAAAGGCTAGGGTTTAAGTCACGTGTAAATTACACACGAGTAATTTTAGCTTTGTCTCTGACGTGACATTGCATAGTAGTCATGTTTAGTTTAGACAATATAATATTCTAGGTTATTAAGGTATTGACTATTAACCATTTGAGTACCGTCATTATAGATATAATTAAAGAACAATAGGTTGGGGTCACCAGTATCCTCGCGATGTTTGACAGTTTAATAAATAATACTATATCTACGGCAATTAATTAGTTGTCATAAATAAAGCAACCTACTTCTAGAGTAACAGAAAAATCAGACCTAAAACCACGTACATAAAAATCCCAATTTCTTAAAAAAAACGGTAAATGAAAGTCTTTATACAAACGTGATTCTTGACCACAGATATAGATAGACCATATCTGACTATAACATACACTATTGATATTGTTTTATTTTATGTATTAACTCGAATTCGACTGCACGATTGGCGCGGTGGCTAGGCAACTGGCTGCCGCGCATCGTGTCGCGGGTTAGATTTCCGCATGGAACAACTCTTTGTGAGATCCATAGATTGTTGTTCCAGGTCTGGGTGTGGTGTGTACCTTGTATGTTTGTAACCGAACCCACGACACAGGAGACAATCATAGTCAATGTAATCACGGAGAATGTAATATGTTATCCTACAAAAAATGAAATGTAACACGAAATTATTTTGGAAAAATCACACACACAGTCACACAAAAACATACCATTAAATGTCTTGACCCCTGTGAATAGAGCCATAGAATGCAGTCCCTAAAGCAGGAATCGAGGAAATAATCATCATTAGGTATATTATTCCTATCGCCTTTTCCTTTTAACGCATTATTCGAGTTATGGGGGCAAAGTGATTTTTTGTGTAGTGACTATAACTCACAGAAACCATAACCTAAATGCTTTAATACAAGCATGTTGTAGGTATAAGTATAGTTTATGCAATGATATATTCTAGATTATTACGGTACTAAATACCTATTAACAAAAGGACCCTGTTAAGCAGAAAAGATCCAACCCACATTTTATTACTTTTGAGTAAATCAAGTTGAATGTTGAGCAGATAATAAAAAAATCCTATGACACAGTACATTTGACAAAAGTAATAAAAGGTGGGCTTAATAGGGTTCAAATAATACTATATCCACAGTATTTACTACCTATTTCAATAACCTATATAAGTCTAAAATAACGATGTGGATTGGGGTCGATTTTTGACCGAAACTCTATGCAACTATCTTGCTGCCTGCCTCGTTGGACTAGTAGTCGCAAGTGCGACTGCTGGACAAGGGATCTCGGGTTCGATTCCCGGATTGGGCAAAGTATTAGTGAGTTTTTTATAAATTCTCAGTGGTAGCACAGAGTCACCCCCTATTACATGGGACTCATAACATAAATAGTGAAAAGTGGGTGTTACATTGTATAGTGGCATAATGTGCACTCCTGCCTACCCAATCGGGGATAAAAGGCGTGATGTTATGTTATGTGTCTATTTATACAACTAATGTCAATAATACTACTTATAAACTAAGTTTAAAAACATCTCTTTTTTGAGGTGGGTCTGTTAATGTACTAAAACCTTCTCCTAAGTGTAACAAACACATTTCTGAACGCATCAAAATCCGTTCAACCAATCACGAGAAAATAGAATATAAACATACATACAGGTCAAAAAGAGAACCTCTTTCTTTTTTGAAATCGGTTAAAAATCAATCGATATTCATGGAAATTGGCAATTAGTTGATCTAGTGCCTATTGTATGATTTATTGCGTTTAATCAACTGCTTCAGCAAAACATTGGGATTCTATAATATCTAATTAATTTTGTTCGTCTCGTAAGGAGTCTTGAGTTCGGAGTTGCGGAGAACCTAACAGGTAACCGGGGCTCCGGCTCGACGTGCAGGAGTAGGAACGGGGTGGTTTTTAGTCAGTAAGAATCTGCCACTCCCTTCCGCCTCACCCAGGCGGGAGCAGTAATTCGATGATTTTCCCCACTTAAAAAAAAAAAAGTAGTCTAGTACGACCCTCAGCTGAGCCAAAACTACTGGGACTTTTAAAATTACTACTAACTTTGCGCTTTATTCTATAACTGACGAAAATAATATATAGACACCTCTGTCTTATCAAAGGAAACTTGTTGTTGTTGATAAAATGAAGTATCTCACATAAACAAACATAATAAACATAGTAATATTTTTATAGCGCAAACATATTTTATCAATTGACCATCAATCATTTGAGGAAAACCTTGATATTTGTTTCAGCATGTAAAGGGAAACCGGGCCCCTGAAATTACAGACGCGTGAGATAAAACTTTGTGTGGCATATGTCCATGAAAATGTTTGATCTCATACAATTTTATGTTCGTATCACTTTTACATTGAATTCAATTGAATCGTCAATAAAATTGTTGTCTGTAGAATGTTTAATTAAAAGGGAATGTTAGATATAACTATTTCCTTCATTTATTTTTAAACTTGAATTTT